ACTCCTCAGCCTTCTGCCTTCATGCTATCCATAATTGGGACACCTGGCAAACATGCTATGGTTGACCCACTAAGTGCCTTTCCCAGATGTGAAGAAGAGATCTGTATAGCTTCAAAGCTTGTCTCTCAGCAACCGAAGTTGGTCTAACAAAAGATATCACCCACTTTGTTTCTTGTATAGTCAGTAGAGCATCCTAACTCCAGGCTCAGCCTTCTGCCTTCATGCTATCCATAATTGGGACACCTGGCAAACATGCTATGGTTGACCCACTAAGTGCCTTTCCCAGATGTGAAGAAGAGATCTGTATAGCTTCAAAGCTTGTCTCTCAGCAACCGAAGTTGGTCTAACAAAAGATATCACCCACTTTGTTTCTTGTATAGTCAGTAGAGCATCCTAACTCCAGGTTTAAAACCTACTGAACAGTTTCAGTTAGCTTATGTGTATTTAGTGTCCCTGAAGTTACTGGCTAATTCCAACTGCATTGTATTATGAGCAATATAGCATGTTGTGAAATGGAATTCTGCATGTGGCTGAGAGGACCCATTAATTATTATAAATGTTTTGGTAAATACTTATGTAACATAGCAAAAAGAGAATCTTTCTAATGTTCTTAAAATTGTGGCTTTAAAAATTTTTTAAACAAAACTACAGAAGAATTGTGACCTACTTTCAAATGTTGTAATAAAATTTCACTAAGGGGCTGTGCCCAGTGCCCGCTGCTCTCATGGGGGGTTGGATAATGCCAGCTTTTCTCCAGCCATCAGGTAGAGCTGTGCTGTGCCCTCTAGGGATGTTAAATTTTGAGTAATTGACTATTCGATTAGTCAATAGGGCACCTCTGCTTTTGAAGTGTAGCAACAGCCCTAAGGCTGTTGCTACACTTCAAAGGCGAAAGTGCCACGTGGAGCCTGGGGTCAGCTGGGGAATTCTGTGTGCCCCCGCCCCACAGCAACCCCTGGGCTGCTGCGATGTGGAGGCTGCTGGCTCCTGTGTTATGTTTCTTGGCATTGAAAACCCTGGAGTGCAGGAAGGGGAGTAGGGGCTTGGTTTAAAATAGCAATTCCAAGTGGCAAGGGGAAGCAGCAAGGTAGGGCTCAAGCTGGGAGAGGGGGAATGGAGAAGAGAGAGGGAGGAGGCAGGCAGGATGCAGAGTGACATGGTGATGTCACTCTGTTGTCCCACAAGAAAAATTGGAGAGATGCTTGCATGCAATTTGAAATTTAGTCTGGTTTTTAAAAGGAATTAAGGAGCTTCAAGTATTTCATTAACCATGAGTTTTTCTGCCAGGTGTTTGGGGTTTTTGGTGAGGGAATTTGAAAGGGGGGTTACAAGCACATTTTCCTATATCTTTTACTTTGCTCATATGTTGCTATATCAAAGCCTCTCCAGAAGAGGAGAAACCGACTATATATAACATGGTTTCAAATGCATAAAGTAACGAAAAAAAAAAAAGTTCTGTTTTTAAACATTTTAGTTCCAGTAATTTTAAGTGTAACTTGTACAATAGTAGGTTTTTGGACTAGTGTTACTTTAATATTGGCATGTTCTCTTTTAAATAAAACTGATGAATGTCTCTCTTTTCTAGCAGTTTTTATAGGGCCAGAAAAATGACTTGGCATCACATACATTTTGCATCATATGACTGATGCTGTATTTGATATGACAGTAAAGATGTTAATCAGATAACCAATGTGTTTACACATTTCTTTTTTTTAACTCCGTGCAGGAAAACAAAGAGACTGGAATGGAAAGTGTGATTGAATCCGTTGCCTGTTTCAAGTATGTTATACATTTTTCATATCTTACTTTTAAAAACTTGAGTGTGAGTTACTATAAATGAGGGAGTAAAATAATAGTTCAGAGCCAAAATGTTTCCCCAGATGGCTCTGCTAATGTGCCTAATTCATAATCCACATCTCCCCTATTTTATTCCTAAGACATTTCATGAGCAGTAATCTTTAGTCATGCCAATTTAGTATAAACATGCTCATAGAAATGGTTGTAACTTATTTTTTTATAGAAAACCTGGATTAACAGGCAGAGGATTGTATGAACTTAAACCAGAATGTACCAAGGATTTCAATCTCTATTTCTATCACTTTTCAAGGGCAGAGCAATCTAAGGTAATTTATAAAAACCACAGACTTCTTAAATTATGTCTTCTGTATACTAGGTTTCCAAAGCCGTGTTTTTCTTTTAAGAACAAATATGAACGAGTATTTTATAAACAAACTTAAATTTTGTAAATGTTCTAGAAAAGTAAACTGATACAGGTTGGATCTCTCTGGTGTGGCACCTTTGGGACCTGTCTGGTCTCAGATGAGTGATTTTTGCCAGACCAGGAGAGATCATTTTCTGCCTCCTCTGGTGCTGGCCCCTGTCCTACTGCCCCACCATATTTCTCGGCGCCCCCAGTAACCTGGCTGGGTCATGCTCTGGACTTTCCCACCCTCTCGCCACCACCTCCACTCCCGCACAGCCCAGCTGGGTCGTGCACCAACTCCTGGTCTCCCGTGCACCAGGTTTTCTGTCTCCTCCCTCCCTCACTGCAGCTTCTTGATCACCGGGCAGCACAACTGGACCCCATGCTGGTCTCTGCTCCCCTTCACCACAGCTGCATTATGCTGGGCTCTCTTTTTCCCCTTCAGCATGCGTGGCTCCTACCCCTCCTCCATTGCACCAGGACTCTGATCCTAGAACATCAGTGGTCCTACTAGACAACAGCTGGCCCGGAGAGTCCCAGTTTATAGAGGTGCAACCTGTATTGCAATAAACCCTATGCCAGTGGATCACTGTGAAGACAGCACTCCACTGAAATCAGTGAGGCTTCATGTAGGGTAGAAGTCTGTGTGCACAGAATTCATTACTTGACTAGGATCTTAATGTACCAAAAATATTTTAATGACATGAGTTCCTGTTCAGTTTTATGGAGTTCAGCATTTCAATAATTGCAGTTATAAAAGTTCAGACTTGTCTCTTCTGGATCAAATTATAAGAAAAACTTGGAGCAATGCTAATAGCAAAAAAAGAAAAGAAATAGAATTGTAACAGAAAGCAACATACAAATCAAGAAAGTAATACATGTAATTTCCAATAAGTTAGGTCCTTGACTTTAATGTAAATATTACAGGGTAGAAGGAAACATTGAAAGGACAGAAGCAGGAAAGGAAATCGTGTGTGTGTGTGTGTGTGTGTGTATGTGAGTGGAGTGCTCCAAGTTTTTCTTATAAAAGTTTTTCTTTTTGTCTGTACAAACTTGGAATAATCTTAGCATCATTCTTTTTGTCAGGCAGAAGAGGCACAAAGGAAGCTGAAAAGACAAAACAGGGAAGATACAGGTATTACATCTGTGGGAAGTAGAGGGAAGGAGAAGTATGGTGTATGAATTCACATGGATGTCCTTATTTTCTCTTATTTTCACACACAAAAGGCTATGCAGTAGAGCTAGAACACCGTTGAGGTTATCCAAAAATCAGTCTTTCTCCAACCCATAAGTACATCACATAATCATAAAACTTACCAAACAAATACATAGTCTGTAAGTGCTGATTTTACTAAGTTGTTGAGGCATTCTAAATTGTATTGGTATTAGAAATGTTTTAAAAGCTGTAATGTTCAGCAAATGAATTTCTGTTTCAGCACTTCCGCCTCCTGTTCTGCCTCCTTTCTCTCCTCTTTTTGCAAGCCTGATTAATATTCTGCAGTCTGATGTCATGTTGTGTATTATGGGGACAATACTCCAGTGGGCAGTGGAACATAATAACTCTGCCTGGTCAGAGTCCATGCTGCAGAGGGTAAGTCTGTGCATGTGTTAGAATAGAAATATCCATTTAGTATATTGATGTTTATATCTGTATACTGATCCGGTTAAATTCAGTGACATTAGGAATATCTTAACTGCCAAATGAGTTAAGCGTGAAGTAGGGATGTAAGCAACTAGTCGACTATCGATAAACATAAGCTTATCAGGTTGTCAGCTGATCCCGCAATTAGTTAAAAGCTGGTTCCCCCCAGCACCATCTCCACAGGGGCAGGAGGGGAGTAGCGGGATTGGGTGTGAGCTGGGAATCAGCTGATTTCCAGCTGGTGCCCAGTCGCAGAGGTTGTGCCTCTGCTTTATAAATGTATTAAGAGCTGCTATAAAACAGAGTTGCAGTGCGCGGGGGGGGGGGGAACCCAGCGTGAGTGGTTCGTGTCAGGTCCACCCCTCTGCACACCAGTCTTTTAAATGTGTTAAGAGCCTGATGGCTCTTAATATATTTAAAAGGCAGAGCTGCAGCGAATAGACTAGTCAATTAGTTGATTCAACTAACTTTAACATACCTAGTGTGAAGTACATAGAAAATCAAATGTAAATTGAGGATTTTTTTTCTAGCTTACTGTTAGAAAAATAACACATAGTGCCTTAAATATCAGTTAATTGGTATTAACATTTTGAATTGCATGCAGCACATCATCTTTGAGTATGAAAGCAGAGCTAGAGGAGGCGTGTTCTAGAGCTTTTTGTACATTATTAACGGTTGGCTTCAATTTCCCAGATATTTGTATGTGTAAAAGGAAATAATTTTGTGAGACTAGTTAAAATAATTCTATAATTTTATGGTAGGAAAAAGATTTTCCTCCTTTTGCAACCTTGTATTTTCAATAGTGATAGAAATGTAGCCGTGTTAGTCTGGTGTAGCTGAAACAAAAAACAGGACTATGTAGCACTTTAAAGACTAACAAGATGGTTTATTAGGTGATGAGCTTTCGTGGGCCAGACCCATTTCCTCGGATCAAATAGTGGAAGAAAATTGGCACAACCATATATACCAAAGGATACAATCAAAAAAATGAACACACATATGAAAAGGACAAATCATATTTCAGAACAGAAGGGGAATGAGGTGGGAGGTAAATGTCTGTGAGCTAATGATATTAGAGGTGATAATTGGGGAAGCTATCTTTGTAATGGGCAAGATAATTAATGTCTTTGTTTAGACCTAGGCGTAAAGTGTCAAATTTAAGCATGAATGACAGTTCAAAGGATTCTCTTTCAAGTCTGGTGTTAAAAGGTCTTTGAAGCAGGATGCAGGTAATCAAGTCGTTGAGACAGTGCCCTTTCTGGTTGAAATGGCAAGAAACTGTTTTTCCTTTGTGAGCCTGTCTAATATCTGTTTTGTGGACACTGATTCTTGGGCGAAGTGTCTGAGACGTTTGTCCAATGTACATAGCAGACGGACGCTTTCGGAACATGATAGCATAAATTATATTTCTGGATGAGCAGGAATATGTGTTCTTGATCTTTATTACTCAATCCTGTGGTTGTTGGTAAGAATCGTCTTGAGGTTAGGTGGTTGTCTATAGGAGACTATGGGTCTGTCTCCCAGAGCCTCTCGGAGTTTAGTATCCTGTTCCAGTATAAGTTGTAGTTTATTGATAATGTGTTGGACAGGTTTAAGTTGGGGGCTGTAGGTGATGACAAGTAGTGTTCTATTGTTGGTTTTCTTGGGTCTGTCTTGAAGTAGATGGTTTCTAGGTATTCGTCTGGCTCTTTCAATTTGTTTTTTTATTTCTCCAGGTGGGTAGTTGAGGTTTATAAATGCTTGGTAGAGATCCTGAAGGTTGCCAGCTTTGTCCACATATTCACCCTGCTGATACCATTATCGGACCTAACCAATTGAGTAATAAAGATCAAGAACACATATTCCTGCTCATCCAGAAATATAATTTATGCTATCATGTTCCGAAAGCGTCCGTCTGCTATGTACATTGGACAAACGTCTCAGACACTTCACCAAAGAATCAGTGTCCACAAAACAGATATTAGACAGGATCACAAAGAAAAAACAGTTTCTTGCCATTTCAACCAGAAAGGGCACTGTCTCAACGACTTGATTACCTGCATCCTGTTTCAAAGACCTTTTAACACCAGACTTGAAAGAGAATCCTTTGAACTGTCATTCATGCTTAAATTCGACACTTTACGCCTATGTCTAAACAAAGACATTAATTATCTTGCCCATTACAAAGATAGCTTCCCCAATTATCACCTCTAATATCATTAGCTCACAGACATTTACCTCCCACCTCATTCCCCTTCTGTTCTGAAATATGATTTGTCCTTTTCATATGTGTGTTCATTTTTTTGATTATATCCTTTGGTATATATGGTTGTGCCAGTTTTCTTCCACTATTTGATCCGAGGAAGTGGGTCTGGACCACGGAAGTTCATCACCTCATAAACCATCTTGTTAGTCTTTTAAGTGCTACATAGTCCTGTTTTTTGTATTTTCAAGATTCAGTGAAAAACAGAATACAGTACATTTGGGGGCTGAAATACCCAAAGCTTGTTCATTACTTAGAGGTAAATCTTTTTTGAATACTTTTTTTTTTTTTTTTTAAATCACAGAGAAATTTTGAGACATTAGAATCAAGACTAAAAAGCAAATTTCTTCAGTTATAGGAATTTTCAGATGCTCTATGTAAATTTATAAAATTTTTTAACACACACACACACACACACACACACACACACACACACACACACACACACACACACACACACACACACACACACATTGAAGCTTGGCATACACTTAACTTCCCCCACAAGGACTCGTCTTGGGGGAAAAAATTTTTACAAATAAAAATGACTGAAGGATTGGGCTCAAAACTGTAAATATTTGAAAATGTCCTTGATTGAGATCATACATGTCTTTATTGGAATGTTTAGACTTTGAATTTCCCAGCTCTGCTTTTAATATTCACTCTAGTTAGAAGCTTTGCAAAGGCAATATGCATAAATTTGAACTGAATTTAATATCACACTAACAATGCTAAAACTATGCTAGAGGGACAAGATGTAGTTGCTGTGGAAACCATTGTTAAAATGTCAGTGTCAGAGTGAAGACATTTAATTGTAATTCAGTAACACTTTTCATATGTTTAATAGCACCAATATTTGAATATAAGAGCCTTATTGTACTTTGATACTTCCATGTTAGTCCTTTTGAAGTGAATAGAAGTTGAGTACATGTACTAGAGAGCATAATTTTGCCCAAGCAGTGACAGTTGGCATAATTACACTCAAAATTTAGATAATTTTGTTTTGAATTAATAGTTTTCCCGTTAACTCATTTTCATTCCTTGGTTATATGGGAGAATCCCAGGGCTTTGCACTTTCTCATTATTATCTTTAGCAGACAGTGTTACGCTTAGGTTTAGTGATTGTGATTGCCTAATAAATGGCACAGGGTGGTTACAGTTCACTAGGTTGCTCAGGTTAATTCTTGGAACCTAATCTGTGGAAACCAGAAACAGTATGTTTGACAAGTTTCAGAGCTTTCTGCTAG